TGCGGCTTATTATAATGTTGATGCCGATTGGGAGATTGGAAAACTTCAAGCAAATTAATATTTAGTTTTAAAATCGACCATCGCTTATATCGCTATTTTTGTGGGAAAATATAATTGCTACAGACTTGACTACGTTAATATGCGCTGGCAACAAAAAGAAAAATCCAAATGTGTAAAATTCGCGTAATTTTTTTTTTGTTAATCATTTTTTCTCATACATATATTTATGTCGACTCTCACACGTCTTGTATACGTGCACATGTGAATAGAAAAATAGCTGCACGTTATTCTATGTTAGTGGAGGGTATTTTTTTTTTTTTTTTTCCTATTCCTCCTATTATATATTTTATATATTTATCGTTTATTTTTAAAGCAGGAACATATTCTGTATTTAATACACATTGTCTGTCGCTCATTTTGAAATGAGTGAATGCTTCCAAAACAACTTTTGTTTTTTTTTTTTTTTTTGTTTTATGATACTAAGCATATTTAAGAATGCTCGTCGACGTCGTGTGCATCTATACAAGCACATGCAATGGGCACTTGTAGACGTGAATGGGTTACAAGTGCTTTTAGAATTACGTTAGGTATAAACGAAAACTTGAAAATATCACAATATTTTTTGTACTTAAAGGTAACCACTTCTAGCGAAATCAATTCAGTCAATAACTGCTATAACCACTATTGTGTTTAAGAATAGTTTCGAGTTTTTTTTGCCGGTCTCCTCGGACGTTATATCACACTTTTTGAATAGTCTTCTACAGTCTTTTTTTTCTTGCGACAGGAAACATGATGGTTTCGTCTTCTCCAAGTATTCTCAAAAGGATGGAAGCAAGGAGAGTGAGTTGGCCGAGCCAAAGTTATGCATCCAGAACCACGCTTTCGTTGTCCTTCTTATTTTTCCATAGCAATGGCTTATTTTCTTCGCCAAGCGGGAACATTACAGTTTCCAACAAGTTTTTATATGCAAATCTATCCGTAATGTTGTCTCTGACTCTGTCTCTGTTGTATCGGATCGATACTCTCCAAAGCAAACAACTCCATGCTCCACAAGTTTTTTAGTAAATCTAATGTGGAATTGTTTTCCTTTCGACAGAAGTATACTCCTTCCTGCGTGACTTGTAAGCAAATTTAGTTTTGTTTCGTCGTTCCAACCTATATTTCTGCACTTTTCGTCGCCTTCTGACTTGGCCTAATTTTTATGGTTTAAAGGACAGTTTTTTCCTCTTCTCCGAATTTACTTGACGAGGTATTCTTTCAGCTATAATTGGCATCTAATAAACATCGACAAACAGTTCAGGTCCTTTTCCATATCATTGAAAGTGGCTTTAGATCTCTCTTTGCTAAAGTTGTGATGGGATTATTGGAAGCAGTAGAAGTTTTTTCAACTCTTCCGTGGAGAAGTTTTTTAAGTCTTCACTTTTTGGGCGTTTAACGCATTCGTGTCAAAGTCATGTGATCGACCTAGTGATACGACTATAAATTTGTACAGCTTTCACTGATTTGGGAGTAGATGACCTAGCCATCCTCCTTCTTAACTATAATGATATGCTCGACCTATCTAATATTATTGTAGACATTAATTCTTTTTGCATTTTCTTCTCAAGAAATACGATTTGAGTTTCACTTCACATTGGACCCGCACCTATATCACTGTCCAACTAAAAAATCTACTAAAGCAACATAAAAGACGTCAAGTTAAGTTTTTCCTGCAAAAACTATCTCGAGCTAACTAATGCAATTCCGGAAATTAATTTTGAACAGTTTGCTATAAGCTTTTTGCGGAAGATATCTTTAACAATTTATATGGCATAGAAGTGGGAAATATATCTCGCGGCTATTTTTCTGTCCACATATGTGTAGTTGATAAGTAGATGAGCGCAAATTTTTCCAAGTGATTAGTGACTTCGATTACAAACATACGCACACATACGCACACACACACACACACACACACACACACACACACACACACACACACACACACACACACACACACACACACACACACACACACA